CAGAGGCTAATCCAGTGCCAGCGATCCTCGAACTGCTGCCGTACCGGAAGCGCGACGGGACTGCCCATCGGGATGCACTCATCCACCCCTACTTTGCGGGGCACGGGTACGCCGGCGTGCGTGTGGACATGCGCGGCTCCGGCGACTCGGAGGGCCTGCTGCGCGGCGAGTACCTCGCGGAGGAGCAGGACGACGCGCTGGAGATCCTGGCGTGGATCGCGGCGCGGGCGTGGTGCACGGGGTCCGTCGGCATGATGGGCATCTCGTGGGGCGGCTTCAACGCGCTGCAGGTGGCCGCGCGGCGCCCGCCCCAGCTCAAGGCCATCGTGTCGCTGTGCTCGACCGACGACCGCTACGCCAACGACGTGCACTACATGGGCGGCTGCCCGCTCGTCGAGAACTTCCTCTGGGGCGCCGTCATGTTTACCGTGTCGCCCAACCCCCCGGACCCGGCCCTCGTCGGCGACAAGTGGCGGCAGATGTGGCTGGAGCGTCTCGAGTACGGCGTCCCATATGTCGCCGAGTGGCATGAGCACCAGCGCCGCGACGAGTTCTGGAAGCACGCCTCCATATGTGAGGACTATAGTGCCGTCGAGTGCCCTACATATCTAGTGGGCGGGTGGCAGGACCCTTATCACAACTCCATCTTTCGCATGATGGAGCACCTCGAATGCCCCAAGAAGGGACTCGTTGGGCCTTGGGCTCACAGCTGGCCGAACTTTGCCTTTCCGCAACCAAGGGTCGGGTTTCTGCAGGAGTCGCTTCGCTGGTGGGATAAGTGGCTAAAGGGAATCGAGACGGGAGTCATGGATGAGCCAAGTTTTAGGTGCTACCAGCAAGACAGTGTTCCTCCGCAGCGACACTATGATTTCCGTCCTGGACAGTGGGTAGCAGAAAGCGAGTGGCCGAGTCCCGGAGTCACCCTCCGGCCGATGGGTCTCGAACCAAAACGACTCGTGGATGGCACATCGCAAAGTGATGCGCAACTATCATTTTGCTCACCGCAGACTGTAGGATTCGGCGCCGGTCGCTGGCTTCCGTACGGCGTGGGAGCAGACCTGTCTGGCGACCAACGACAAGACTCCAACGGCTCCTTGGTCTTCGACAGCGAGCCTCTGTCCGAGCCACTGGACATCTTCGGCGCCGCCCTGGTGCAACTCGGAGTGTCAAGCGACAAGCCCAACGCTCTCGTCGCAGCCGTGCTTTCCGAGGTCCTGCCCGACGAATCCGCCACGAGGCTCACGTACGGCGTGCTCAACCTGACTCACCGCGACAGCCACACGGACCCGGAAGCCCTCGAGCCTCACCATTTCTATGACGTGACGGTCAGACTGAACGAGTGCTGCCAGCGCATCGGCAGCGGGAGCGTGATCCGGCTTGCGCTCTCCACGTCGTATTTCCCTACGGTCTGGCCATCGCCCGAGGCGGCCACACTGACCGTTGACTGCGCAAAGAGCATACTTCAACTCCCAACTCGAGCAAGTAATCCTCTGGATCGCGAGTTGAAGCCCTTTGAGCCTGCCGTGAATGCGGCGCCTCTGGAGACCATACAGCTCCGCGAGGGAAGCAGCAAGAACACCATCACCGAGGACCTGGCCACGGGCGAGATGACGGCGACTTATTACAGCGACATTGGCCTCTGTGAGATCAAAGAGACTGGCTGGCGGTTTGGCGAGTGCACGGAATTCGTGACCAAGATCAAGCCCGACGATCCGCTGTCGGGGCTCGCGCAGATGAAGTTTCGTCAAGAATTTGGCCGCGCTGATTTGGATCTGGTGCTGAATGGCCTGACGACCATGACGGCCACGGCGACAGAGTGGCTTTTGACCATAGAAATCGAGGCTCTGGAGCAGGGCGAGCAGATATTCAAGCGACAGTGGAAATATACGATTCCGAGGGATTATAATTAGTGCTACCCAAGAGACGAAGGAGTCCTCAATTGAAAAAGTAAACGAATACAAAAAAGCAATTGTGTTGTTAGTTATTATCTTGCCAAAATACTCACCAGCCACTGTTCCATTTGAATTTGTTTGACAAGCATCTTTCGACGCGCATGCACGTTATTATCCCTTTATCAGATTATTGGAAGATATATCAAGGCATACCATACCGGTAAGAGTAACGTTATCGGCTTGTAATTGGTCTGGCTATTTCTCTGTGCTCGTTACAAAGTAAGGCTTTACACGGTAATCAATTGTCAGCATGGCCTGGTGTACAACGACAACATGTGTGAAAAACCCGCCCAGTCACCGCCCGCCGCCGACATCATGCGCGACACACCGAGGCGGTCAGCCGCTGCCAAGCTGCACATCATCAGCGAACCACGGCGCCGCTACGGAGCCGATCTTGGCCGAAAGGACCCCGAATCACGCGACCCGGTGCGAGCCGGTGCTAGGCAAACATGGTGTGTACAAATTTTGCATCTTGGCTGACTAGTGCTGCAAGAATTGCGTCAGATAGAGCTCAGCAAACAAGTTGTAAGCCCCACAGCCGCCCGATATTCATAGTCGGTTGCCACTTTCGGCTTGTAGGACGGGAAGGATGGCGATGCACGAGTCTTGCAAATCGCTTCGATTTGCCGCCACTAAAAAAGGAGCGGCTCCTTATACTGTGCCGTAGCGTGGGAGTATTATGCTTAAAATTAGAAAAAGTGTCGGTCAAGAAGGACACCGTAGATCTTTCAATGCTATCCGTGATTTTATCACTTTCAAGTTTCGAAGTCTCGTGAAATAAACATTCTGGTAAAATCCAAAGAAACAGATATCGATCAAATCCTTCACAAACGATTCGATCATCGTCACATTCAGACCTCATTAAATGAGCAGTCATGTCTTATCACGATCGACATTCCGGGCGGTACTATAGCCCCAGCCCGCCACCATTTTCCCGGCGAGACACGTTCCTCGAGAACCTTGATCGCGGCCAGGTCAAGGACGCAGTCGGGGCGCTGATGCCGGGCGCGAGGTCCAAGAGCAGGAGGCGCTACGACTCTCCTCCCCGTCACAGTCACCACCGTCATCGCGACGACCGGCGCCGCTCGTACGAGGACGGCCTCGACTATGGCCGTTACTACCCAGGCGATCGAGATTACTACCATCGCGACGACGAAAGGCGCTCGTCGCACCGCCACCATCATCACCATCATCACCGGCACCATAGACATCGAGACGGCAGCGTGGACTATTACTACTACGAGGACGAAGAGCCGCATCGCGGTCGTAGACGCGGGCACTCGGTGTACGCAGAGCCACGGGATCACTATTACTACAGCGATTCAGACCACCACCGGGGCCACAGAGCTCGCTCAGCAGGCGGGACCAACTGGAGGCAAGCGACCGAGGCCGCGGTGGGAGCCGGACTCATCGAGGGATGGCGGTCGCGGCGCGACGGGGACGGTGTTAGCAGGATCGCGACGGCGGCGGCGGGCGCGGCCGGTACGGCGATGCTGGTGGGACGGGAAAATGATCGGAGGAACACGAGGCACGTCACCGAGGCTACACTAGGCGGGTTGATGCTGGACCGAGTCGTCAACGGGAGAAGGAAAAGGTAGATTGATCATAGTAACGAATATCACGCTACATGCATACACACTCATTTCTTGGTGCTCAAAAACTAGCAATGGGCGCGACAAGAACTCCTTCTCAGAAGCACGCTTGGTCGGCAATCATGAGGCAGCTTATGCTAACGCGCTCTCCTTGACATGCTGTTATCTGTATCTTGACGCTTCTTTCTGAAGCGCCCCTTCCTCCATGTTCCCATTTAATGACGGAAGACTATGGATCTGCAAATATTGAATCAAACTTGACCATTTCACTCTTTTTGCATTCTCCATATAACCTTTCCCGTGTGTACAAACCAACACTTTCGCTTTTCCCTGTCCATCAGAAGCATGATTCGGACTGCTCAGGGTTGGGACAAACCTTCCTTCTGATCTTGGGACGATCGATGTTCTTGATTTTGAGCGTTGTATCCTGCCCATCTGAGTATTCGTTTTGTTGTTCTATTGAAGTCCACGTGTGTAAGTGATCCTCTTATATAATATGACATTGCTCGTCACGCTGACTACGACAGTCCAGGTACGAACAACCGTGGCGCCGGTTCGCATCAGAAAAAGACGCCCCGGGCCTCGCGCCTTTTTCCCGGGTGAAAGACCTGTGGCAAGCTCCTTTGCTTCTTCCGACAGCTTTTGTCCATCCACCTGCCAGACTCACTGATGTGAACTGCCTTGCAATTTCCGGCCGCATCGTCCGTGTATGACACCTCCCATCAACTGCATTGATGCGAACCGACTCGCTCGGTCCCACAGCTTCTGCTCATCATAAAAGCTTTCCTCCAGGTCTTGACTGGCTAAGGTTCGTCCAATCCAAACCCACCCGAACCGGACCTGTTCGCCTCCCGAAAAGGCCTTGGAGAACACATCCGGAACCAACACACTGAAAAGGACGTCCGCCATAAATACCTCCAGAAAGGCTGTGGCCAGTCGTTCGACACCAGGAAGATCATTAATAGACATACCCGGGATCAGCAATGTTCGGATGGATGTTCGTCACGAATGCATTCACGGTGGATGCGAGTTCAATCTCTCCCGCCACTCCGGCCTCAGAGAGCATATCATGACCATACACGGCGACAAAGTAAGGATTCCCAGTGCAAACTTTTACGAACGGAACCTCGAACAACACCTTGAGTCTCACTGTGGCTTGGGCCCTCTAGTGAGAAATATCATGAAGAGGTCGACGTTGAACAAGTACAGGTCATGCAGTCGCGAGGGAGGCTCATCCCACAACTAGCTCTACGACGGGACCTAGACAGATACTTCACTTATTCAGCTACTCAATTGAATGGATGCAAATCAGATTTCGACACCGTTGCGATGGCAGTCAAGACAGGGTATGGTCCCCCCACAGTCCAAGCTAAAATTTTCGTGCAATGGGCCACCAAGAGGCCCACTGACAAGAATTGTATTAGCAACAGAATTTCTCATCGACAAGGAAACACACGGTCGGTTAGTGTAGTTGGTTATCACATCGGATTCTGATTTCTGATCTTGTTTATCTCGATCTTCGACGAGACTTCCGGTAACCGGGGTTCGAATCCCCGACTGACCTGGGTTCCTATGTTTTCTTTTTTGACATTTTTGTCAATTTCTGTGCCTGGCGTGCCTGGCTATAAAATTTGGCACCACGTCTGTGCCGCTAGTACATATAAATTTTCGCTGCCCTATATTTGTGGGTACCTTGGGTGTCTGGACACTGCCAAGAAGAACTGGCGATGTCGATTGGAGATGTAGTCAAACTAGTACAGAACAGAAACTGTATCCATGAACAAATCCGAATATTCTCCATGATACTTGATTTGAAATACAACACGGCTTATAGGTCGATACTTCGGTCCTCACCAAGGCGAACACTTTATCAAGGTTTTTACGCCCACGAAGTCTGCCAGGTAAAGAAGGACGGGTAAACCGTCGCTACATGTGCAAAATAGCACTATATCTGGTACACGATGGATGATTATGCTTATTTCAAGATTTCCAAAGTGCCGAAATAAGCTTAAAATTTCTTGCAATCATCAGCTAGGGAGCCACGAGGCAATTGGAACACCAGTTATCTGACCTCACCGACGAAGACGGCAATCTAGATGGCATTGGCATGTGGTAAGAGGATCTGCATGTTCTCACTATCCGTAAGGGGACGAATATACCGGCGGTGATGATAACATAACGATAGACAGTAAGTGTGTCCTCGCATCAAAATACCTGATCCGTGAATACAGTGTACTGCCGACGCCGCGGCACCGACAACCGCGAGCGAAGGATGTCGGAGCGATGAGCAGCATACTGAATATGGCCAGTACCGCTTGAAAGATTTACGAGACGTCGGCCGATGCAAAGTATTCGGCCGGGAGAGAATTTGTCGTAGGTTACCGGCGGGCGGCGGCAGGCGGCGATGGCATCTTGGAAGGTATCATTGCGGACGGCACGGTCGCATCCAGGCACAAATGGTGGCCTCGACTCGAGACAACACGTGAAAGTGTAGCACTCTCGCCAGAACCACCGGAGCACGGGGGGTGATCTGGTTACATCATACAAGCCTCTCGCTTTCCCGTGGTGGTTTATTTCGAGATGTCTCGACGGGCGGTGCTGATTTGGCAGAAACACCAAGGTCCTGCCTAAATAGGAAGCCAGCAGGAGGTCCGCCTGCAATAGGCCTAGTCGGCGGGCTGTCGGGGGTTTCATCCAAAAGAGATGACCCCCCTGGCAGTCCTTCGTTATCGACGGCATTTTCCTCGTGGCAGCCTTGCAGTTGTTGTCCGTACCACCCACTCTTCAGTATGCGATCCTCTTCATGCAGTGCTGAGCTTGCCCCCCTGACACACTGAAGATAACCCCCCGCATGAACGACCAGCGTGCATGTACGCAGGGGCCTTTGGTTGGATTCCGGACAGGATGAGCGTTGCGAGACATTTTGGGCGCGGGGTCGCCTCGATCTCCTTGCCTCCTCGGGGGTGCGGGCAATCAATCTGTCATGACAAGTACTGCGACTTGACTTCCAAGTATCGCAAGGCCGATCTGATCTCTCGGTCCAAAGATTGACACATCGCCTGTCGGAGGTCTTGACCTGGTTCGGTATCCGGGCGTGTTTGGCCATTTCACCTCGTGTTGCGCAGCGCGGCCGTCTCTTGCTGTGGCTTGGTGGTATCACCCCAGCTGCTTGGTATACACGATACGACCTCGGCTGCCGCCGTCAAATTCGACCAGGCGCCCCCGTCGGACGCCATGAAAGCCGAAAACACCTACCGTCGCCCGGGCCAGATCGGCCGCGGCGACGAGGTGGATCATATCAACTACTCCGGGCCCAGGTCCGGCGTGCTCTCGAGGACGGAGCACGGTGGATACACCGGGCCCGGCTACGTCGACGACGTGTTTGGGGAGGAGAGAGGGCATGATATCAAGTACAAAACTTTATCTTGGCCCATGGTCGCCGTCATGATGATCACCGAGATCATATCAAACGGAACTCTTACCCTTCCGTCCAGCCTGGCTGCCGTCGGCGTCGTCCCCGGTGTTGTGGTCATCTTCTTCCTTGGCGCCTTCGCCACCTACACGGCCTGGGCGCTGATCCAGTTCAAGATGCGACACCCCGAGGTACACAACATGGGAGACGCGGGCATGATTATGTTTGGTCCAGTCGGGAGGGAGATCCTCGGGGGCGGCACCATCATCTTTGCCGTTTTCGCTACAGGCAGTCAATTGTTAGCCGGTCAGCTCGCGCTGAGCGTCCTATCCGAGAACCGGCTGTGCGCGCTGGCGTTTACCGGCATCTTCACCGCGGCTGTCACCCTGCTCAGCTTTCCCCGGACTTTGGAAAACCTGGGCTGGCTGTCCATCCTCGGGGGCATCTGCATCATCGTGGCCGGCATCGTGGGCATGGTCGGGGCCGGAGTCGTGCCCGTCGACCCCGGCAATGTTGCCATTACGGTCGCGACCGACTTTACCTCGGCCTTTATCAGCATTACCAATCCCGTCTTTGCATATGCGGGGCACTTCATGTTCTTCATTCTCATCTCCGAGATGAGGCGCCCGCAAGACGCCATGAAGGCGGCGTGGACTCTCCAGATCGTGTCCACCTTCTTTTACATCGCCTTTGCCGTCGTCACGTATTGGTACATTGGGCCGGGCGTATCCAGCCCTTCTTTTCTCAGTCTCAGCCCGCTGTGGTCCAAGATCAGCTTCGGCCTGGCCATTCCCAATTTCCTCATCGCCGGGAGCCTGTACAGCCACACGGCGGCCAAGCTCATCTTTGTACGACTATTCCGGCGCAGCCGGCACATGCACTCGCACACCCTCACCGGGTGGGGCGTGTGGACGTTCCTGATCGTCCTGGCCAACGTTGCGGCCTTTGTCCTGGCGGTCGGCATCCCCATCTTCAACTATCTGGTCGGCATCGCGGCCTCGCTGTTCGCCGCCTGGTTCACGTACGGCCTGGCCGGCGCGTTCTGGCTGCACGACATGTACTACTTCAAGGGCGGCTGGCGGGCCTGGGCCGAGAGGCCCATCATGCTGGCCGTCAACGTGCTGACGGTGCTCGTGGGGGCCTTCATCTGCATCGGAGGGCTGTACGCGACGGTCAAGGCCTTGCAGGTGGCTTCGGATGCCGGGGCTCTGCCACCTCCTTTCCAATGCTAGGTAGGGATCAGGCGTTGCGCAGTATAGAACTCATCATCGAGTCGCAACATGAGAAGATCACGCCTTTCCTGGACAACTATCACGTGTTCGTCTTGTTTTCCCGTGTTTGCCTGTCCTGGAAGTGCATCGAATTTTGTATAAATCGTAGGAGAAGAGTGTCCGCCCCCATGTCAACTCCCCACATGTACCTATAGCTGGAACAAAAGCTCCGGCGTCGATCACTCCACACCATGATCATACACGATTGCTTCTCCTCCGTATGAACCCACAATTCTGGGAGAATCGAATCTTCCTGCACGAACAAACAGCAACAAAACTTATCGACATTCCTCTGTCATAAGCTTAAAGAAAAAAGATCAGACAGTTCTAGCGCTGCTTGATGACTTCACCGAGCTTCTACCCAAAGGCGCTGTGACGTGGGCAGATGCCATGATGTCATGGCGTAGAGCTTCCTCCAGCGTATAAGCTCCCCTCGAGCTGCCGGGCGTCTTCATATAAGGGCGAGAAGCACAACTGAGGGGAAGCTGGTTATTCAATCAGTACAATCAAGTCTCCTTATATCTGTTTGCTCTGCTCTACTATCTACACAAAGATTTCCATCTCATACACGACTCTCGACCACACTTGGCAGTACACCAACATCCATCACCACCAAAACTACATCACCATGACCCCCTCCAGCAAGAACCCCAGCCACGGCCAAAAGGTTGACCTGGGCCGCCGCGCCCCCGAGACCCACGAGGGCGTCGGCGACGTGGACCCGAGCTCCCTAGCCGCCGAGTCCGCGGCCTTGCAGGCCTCCAACGAGGTATCCGAGGGCTTCAGCTCTACCACCAGCAAGACCAGCAGCAGCACGTACCGCTCCATGGGGACTCAGTCATCATCGTCCACGACGCAATCTTCCTCGACACGTACCACAGGCCGCAGCAGCGGTATGCAGAACCTCGAGAGCCAGGCCTCGTCTGGTATGGCGGGACAGCAGCAGCAGGAAGCGGGCCGCCGCCGCCTGCCGGGCCACAATGCTCCGCATGGCAGGAACCTTCACGAGGACAACGACCTGTCTGGCGAAAACGCCAGCTTCACGCAGTACGGCACCGAGGCCGATCCGGCATACCTGGCCGAGAGGAAGTTTGAGGCCATGGACAGCATGCCGGCCGGCAGCACTGGTGGCGCGGGCCGCGAGAAGCATATTGATGACAAGAACATATATGATGCTCTGGGCTCGGAGAGTAACGCATAATGGTAGCTTTTCTCATTGAAAAAAAAAAAACTTCTAGTCTTTAGGAAAATGAAAGCATATCTCGATGCAGGTTGAAAGTGAAATCTGGATTTCGAATTGCATCACTCATCGATGTAGTTACATTATGTCGTGCATTGCATACGACCATATTTCGTAACTTTCTTCTTCTTCACTTGACTTCATTAGTCTATTGTCTAATTCTTACATAAATGTACATAAGCTTCTTCTCACAAAATGTGGAATAAACAACGTATTGTCGAATGGCGGCCCCGACCGTCTATGAGATTCCCTACTCCAAAGATTGCGCTTGGCACATGCTCCAATAAACACCCTTCTTGGCCAAGAGTTGCGCGTGTGTCCCGCTCTCCGCAACGTTTCCTTCCCCAAGAACAAAGATGACGTCGGCATTTTGAATCGTCGCCAGTCTGTGTGCAACAACAACCATGGTTCGGGTCTTCTTGGTCCGTTCAAATACACCCTGTACCAACTTTTCGGTCTCCGAATCGAGCGCCGAAGTTGCCTCATCAAGAAGAAGCATGCGTGGATTCCTAATCAGAGCTCTTGCAATAGACATGCGCTGCTTCTGACCACCAGAGAGCAGGATACCCTTGAATCCGACCTTGGTGTTGTATCCCTCCGGCAAGGACATAATGAAATCGTGAATTTCGGCGTCACGACAC